ACTACTACTACTACTACTACTACTACTACTACTACTACTACTACTACTACTACTACTACTACTACTACTACTACTACTACTACTACTACTACTACTACTACTACTACTACTACTACTACTACTACTACTACTACTACTACTACTACTACTACTACTACTACTACTACTACTACTTGGAAGCGTGTTTTTATTGACCACATAAAATGATGATGCAAAGAAAGAAAAGAACACCGGAAACATAATGCTGGATTTGAAAGAAGAAGAGAAAAAGGAAGATTAAAAGAAACCTGACCAAGAGAACTCAAGCATTGCACCCAGGAGGCAAAAATGAACTCAATCCCTAGCATAGGCTCAATGAGGTCGTGTAATTGCACAAATTTCAACGGATCCAAGTAAAACTCCAACCAACAAGTGGAACGAATTCAAATATTACAAAGCAACAGCGAAAATAGAATAACAACACAGTGAACAAAAAAAGAAAAGAATACTATTCGATAGACAAGTCCAGTTACTGCACACGTGACATGTGCGCCAGTGCACGGCACTCGGTTACGAAACCATGACGGCCTGTACCGGAGACACCACGGGCATACGACGATCTTGACCCCCGAAAACACGTAATCTGCCACCGGACTAGGGAGGTACTTATCCTCGATCGCAAGTGACCAAGGACAAGGGCGTACTGAAGATCCCGATTCTTATCTGCTATACGGGCTGCCAAAGTCTTCAGGAATCTGCTGCACTCCGGCGCACTCTGACCATTCGTTGCGAAAACCAGAGGGGTAAATGACCCACGATCCACCTGGTTAATCCGGTCAGCATACTGTCGCTTCTTCTGGCGCTCATGCTGGGACAACTGACCCGCCACTTCCGGTCCAGACAGCAAAGACGGCCTTGGGTGAGTCACCCGCACATCAAAAAAGGCGTTTTGCTGCCTGGTCCAGAAGCCACGAGCCCGTATGTCCACACGAGCGCCATCAGCTGAGCTGCCAGAGACTGCCTCGCCCTGGAGTGGCATCAGCGGTGGCTCGATCGCCACATCACACACGACGCTGCCGAGGGCGTCCGCAAGGAGATCCCTCAACTCGTTGTGGCGCTGCGTTGGGTAGCCTCCACTGGGGCAAGTGAGTGCGTGATGGCTTGACATCTCCCCTCCACACACACAGGACAATGCAACCCCATCCAGCGATAAATCATACCGCAGACAGAGTGCGTCCCTGAAGTCAGATTTATTAAATACTGACCCAGGTATGTGCATGGAAGGGGGAGTGCCAAGCCAAGTGGATACACCACCCTCACCTGCCACATCCACAAGGAGGCGCTGCTGATCCGACAGATCAGGCTTGATCCCAGTCAAGATGTCCAGCTGCTGAGACCGGCGTCGGCCACGAGCCTGAACTGCCAATGCCTTGCTGGTTGAAATTACGTCGGCGACTCGACGCTCGCCCAGACCGACCACCACACACGTCACCATAGGGTCTATCGCATCGCAACAGAGCAGACGCTCAGCCTCGGCACGCACACTCCCGATTCGCATAGCGAGACCGCCGTTTCGTAGGGGCAGAGATAGTAGCTGACGAAGCGCACCGTCAGGCCTGAACGTGTGGCCAGTCAGCGCCGGCAGCAGATCGTCATTGATGGCCCGGTCCAGAGGTGAGTACACGGCTGGGTCGGCAGGGACCACACGCTGTAAGAAGGTCCACCGGGATTGCAGAGACGCAACAAAAAGGCGATAAGCCGCCTGCGGTTGCGTCACAGCCAAGCCAGCAAGGCGCTTCACCAATCGACACATGCCCGCAACCCGATCCAATACAAAGTCATTCTGAAACTGTTGGCTGCCAATGGCTCCACCCAGATACCGCACACCATCAGTCTGGATTCTGACGCCCGTGCCAGCGAAAGCCTCCTGTGCCTCAGCCAGAAGATGCGGTCGGACAAGCAGCACAGTTTTCTTGGCATTCGGGTAGTACCCGTACTGAGGGCCGGCCTCCTCAATGGCAGACCAATACCGACGCAGTGGTTGTATCTTGTCGGCAGCCGCATCATCATCTGCGTACCAGATTTGAGCTGTTGACTCCGATGCTGAACCAAGCTGTGCAGCAAGAGGAACGGTGGCCAATGCGTAAAACGCCATTGCCAGAGGGTCCCCCTGGCAAGTTCCCTCGCGCGAATACAATACCTCTCCGCCATCGAGGTAGAGTGGTATGTCGGCCTGGTATGTATTTACAAACACTCGACCAGCTGCAGGGCAAACCTTTGGTATGTTGTTGATTGCGGCTGCACGGTTCAACGCATTAAACGCATTTGAAGCGTCAACGAGGAGAATGGCAGTGTCCTCATCACGCTCGTACAAGCCAGTGAGGGCTTGGACAGCAACCTCACAGGCGGAGGGGACGCCGACACACAGCTGCCGTGGGACAGTGACGGCCGCAACGTCACGCTCGATCACGGCCATGATCACCTTCCCGACCACTCTCCGGAAAACCTCACCGATCGCTATCGGTCTTACGCCAGGTTGCTTGTCAAGCGGTATTAGTCGACCGGCGAGGAAAGCTCGGAGATGAGATGGGTCAATCTCCTCCACGCACAAACACCTGGCCATGTGGGCAAGGGATGTGCAGAGTGCCTTCGACGCCGCACCGTACATGGAAGCCATCCGCCGCCAAGCCTCCGAATCCAGTGCCGAAGGGCCAGCAGCGCCCTTCATCGCCATGATGGTAGCTCGTACCTTTGTTGATGTTATGGCCTCATAAAGCACGTTATCCGGTGGAGGCGGACCGTCAGGCAGCAGAACGCTTGGCTCAGGGGGAACAGGATCCGGATGCTTTGCCCTCAACGTCTCAAGTACAGTTTGTCCATCCACAATAGATGAAAGAGACAAGACACCACCACCACCACCCTCCTCTACGTAGTGGGCAGCCGTGCCAAGTCGATCACCATAGACTAGCTTAGCGAACTGGACGTCATCTAATCCACCACCCGCAGAGCCACCAGAATGAGGCATCGGCAAATGCGCCTGGATGCACCGAGACTCCCGCAGCAGGGCCGATAAATTGCCAGCTGACCACAAAGAAAGCCTCTTTCGTAGAAACTTCCTGTGGTCAGCGGCGGCTGAGGTGTTGAACGGCCTCTGCAGCAGAAGGTGGCACGCAACGACTACGGCAGACCACGCAAACGCCCGAGCCCCTGATCCATCTGTGAAAAGGCCAATCAATCTGGAAAGTTCCTTCACAAAGTCCTCACCTTCAGCGCCGAAGGGGACGATAAATAAATTCCTTTTCCAAGACACAGCCTCACTGTAGGCCGAATCCAGCAACTGTGCAGCCTCTCCACTCCGCAGAGCCCAGAACCCACCTCCAGGGACAGCATCGGAGCCACCGCCATCACCCGAGGGCGGGTCAACATAAGCAGGATCGGCCGTAGCCGAGGCAATATGGGTTGGTTGCTGGACCGTGGTACCACTATTTCCAGAACCACGGACCGGAGGGAGGTCAACACGTAACTCTCGTGACTCCCCAGCACAATCAGCAGAAGCACCTGCGGAAAGTGGGTCAGCAGCGTCAATTGAAGCCGCCTCCGAGCACGAGAGATCAGGCAGATCCACCCGCAGTGGCTGTATGGATGAAGCAGCAGCAACAGATTGAGAAGGCTGCACAGAATTTGCGGCTCCAGGGTGCAATGCTGCACGGGAACGTACCGTGGCCGACGACTGGGGTCTGCAGACCGAATTATTCCGCCCTCCGCGAGGCACCCACCCCGGTACTGATTCGGGTGGTGCATCAGGCAGCGAACGCTCCCCAGCAGCACCGCCAGTGACAATCGTAACGCTCAGATTAGTGTTACCGAAATTGGTGCATCTTTGGTCCCTGCCGGGGTAGCAGTCGACACAGCATCGTCCCGCTGCGTTGCAGGAGCAAGAGCGGCACGTGCCCGACGCTCTACTGCAGGAACAGCACAAGCGCTTGCTGTTACTTCCCCTGCGCGACTGAGACGACATAGCAGGCTAACACGCGGGCCAGACGTGCGACCAGACGTGCGACCCTGAAGGACGCCGTGCTGGGCTGGGCTCATAGAAAGACAGCTGCGGACTTCAGTTACTGTGCATACACGAGCACGGCCAGATGAAGGCGCGAAGAAACTCGAGGTGTGAAGAGCAGCCTGCACGCCGTCACAGACCACGCGGGAAAGCACCCAGCCGCGAAGCGCAGCACAGCAAGCCAGCTGATCCAAGGCCAAAGGCGAAGGCACGGAAAGCGAGCCGAAACTACAACGCAATGGCCGGTTCGCCAGGTAAAAGGAAACCAGCTGGAGGGAGGAATAGTGGACTGGGCAACTCCACAGCGGTGAAAAGTACTGGAGCCGACTCCTGAAGCCTAGAAGAAAGTAATGAAATAAGTTAATAATCGGTTGACTGGGATAGTGGATACAGCAATTAGAAAAACTGCGGAGGAGCAAAATCTCCATCCGCACTCCAGTGTAAAGAAACTACTACTCCTACTACTACTACTACTACTACTACTACTACTACTACTACTACTACTACTACTACTACTACTACTACTACTACTACTACTACTACTACTACTACTACTACTACTACTACTACTACTACTACTACTACTACTACTACTACTACTACTACTACTACTACTACTACTACTACTACTACTACTACTACTACTACTACTACTACTACTACTACTACTACTACTACTACTACTACTACTACTACTACTACTACTACTACTACTACTACTACTACTACTACTACTACTACTACTACTACTACTACTACTACTACTACTACTACTACTACTACTACTACTACTACTACTACTACTACTACTACTACTACTACTACTACTACTACTACTACTACTACTACTACTACTACTACTACTACTACTACTACTACTACTACTACTACTACTACTACTACTACTACTACTACTACTACTACTACTACTACTACTACTACTACTACTACTACTACTACTACTACTACTACTACTACTACTACTACTACTACTACTACTACTACTACTACTACTACTACTACTACTACTACTACTACTACTACTACTACTACTACTACTACTACTACTACTACTACTACTACTACTACTACTACTACTACTACTACTACTACTACTACTACTACTACTACTACTACTACTACTACTACTACTACTACTACTACTACTACTACTACTACTACTACTACTACTACTACTACTACTACTACTACTACTACTACTACTACTACTACTACTACTACTACTACTACTACTACTACTACTACTACTACTACTACTACTACTACTACTACTACTACTACTACTACTACTACTACTACTACTACTACTACTACTACTACTACTACTACTACTACTACTACTACTACTACTACTACTACTACTACTACTACTACTACTACTACTACTACTACTACTACTACTACTACTACTACTACTACTACTACTACTACTACTACTACTACTACTACTACTACTACTACTACTACTACTACTACTACTACTACTACTACTACTACTACTACTACTACTACTACTACTACTACTACTACTACTACTACTACTACTACTACTACTACTACTACTACTACTACTACTACTACTACTACTACTACTACTACTACTACTACTACTACTACTACTACTACTACTACTACTACTACTACTACTACTACTACTACTACTACTACTACTGCTACTGCTACTGCTACTGCTACTGCTACTGCTACTGCTACTGCTACTGCTACTGCTACTGCTACTGCTACTGCTACTGCTACTGCTACTGCTACTGCTACTGCTACTGCTACTGCTACTGCTACTGCTACTGCTACTGCTACTGCTACTGCTACTGCTACTGCTACTGCTACTGCTACTGCTACTGCTACTGCTACTGCTACTGCTACTGCTACTGCTACTGCTACTGCTACTGCTACTGCTACTGCTACTGCTACTGCTACTGCTACTGCTACTGCTACTGCTACTGCTACTGCTACTGCTACTGCTCCTGCTCCTGCTCCTGCTCCTGCTGCTGCTGCTGCTGCTGCTGCTGCTGCTGCTGCTGCTGCTGCTACTACTACTACTACTACTACTACTACTACTCCTGCTGCTACTACTACTACTACTACTACTACTACTACTACTACTACTACTACTACTACTACTACTACTACTACTACTACTACTACTACTACTACTACTACTACTACTACTACTACTACTACTACTACTACTACTACTACTGCTACTGCTACTGCTGCTGCTGCTGCTGCTGCTGCTGCTGCTGCTGCTGCTGCTGCTGCTGCTGCTGCTGCTTCTGCTGCTGCTGCTGCTGCTGCTGCTGCTACTGCTACTGCTCCTGCTCCTGCTCCTGCTCCTGCTCCTGCTGCTGCTGCTGCTGCTGCTGCTGCTGCTGCTGCTGCTGCTGCTGCTGCTACTACTACTACTACTACTACTACTACTCCTGCTGCTACTACTACTACTACTACTACTACTACTACTACTACTACTACTACTACTACTACTACTACTACTACTACTACTACTACTACTACTACTGCTACTGCTACTGCTCCTGCTCCTGCTCCTGCTCCTGCTGCTGCTGCTGCTGCTGCTGCTGCTGCTGCTGCTGGTGCTGCTGCTACTACTACTACTACTACTACTACTACTACTCCTGCTGCTACTACTACTACTACTACTACTACTACTACTACTACTACTACTACTACTACTACTACTACTACTACTACTACTACTACTACTACTACTACTACTACTACTACTACTACTACTACTACTACTACTACTACTACTACTACTACTACTACTACTACTACTACTACTACTACTACTACTACTACTACTACTACTACTACTACTACTACTACTACTACTACTACTACTACTACTACTACTACTACTACTACTACTACTACTACTACTACTACTACTACTACTACTACTACTACTACTACTACTACTACTACTACTACTACTACTACTACTACTACTACTACTACTACTACTACTACTACTACTACTACTACTACTACTACTACTACTACTACTACTACTACTACTACTACTACTACTACTACTACTACTACTACTACTACTACTACTACTACTACTACTACTACTACTACTACTACTACTACTACTACTACTACTACTACTACTACTACTACTACTACTACTACTACTACTACTACTACTACTACTACTACTACTACTACTACTACTACTACTACTACTACTACTACTACTACTACTACTACTACTACTACTACTACTACTACTACTACTACTACTACTACTACTACTACTACTACTACTACTACTACTACTACTACTACTACTACTACTACTACTACTACTACTACTACTACTACTACTACTACTACTACTACTACTACTACTACTACTACTACTACTACTACTACTACTACTACTACTACTACTACTACTACTACTACTACTACTACTACTACTACTACTACTACTACTACTACTACTACTACTACTACTACTACTACTACTACTACTACTACTACTACTACTACTACTACTACTACTACTACTACTACTACTACTACTACTACTACTACTACTACTACTACTACTACTACTACTACTACTACTACTACTACTACTACTACTACTACTACTACTACTACTACTACTACTACTACTACTACTACTACTACTACTACTACTACTACTACTACTACTACTACTACTACTACTACTACTACTACTACTACTACTACTACTACTACTACTACTACTACTACTACTACTACTACTACTACTACTACTACTACTACTACTACTACTACTACTACTACTACTACTACTACTACTACTACTACTACTACTACTACTACTACTACTACTACTACTACTACTACTACTACTACTACTACTACTACTACTACTACTACTACTACTACTACTACTACTACTACTACTACTACTACTACTACTACTACTACTACTACTACTACTACTACTACTACTACTACTACTACTACTACTACTACTACTACTACTACTACTACTACTACTACTACTACTACTACTACTACTACTACTACTACTACTACTACTACTACTACTACTACTACTACTACTACTACTACTACTACTACTACTACTACTACTACTACTACTACTACTACTACTACTACTACTACTACTACTACTACTACTACTACTACTACTACTACTACTACTACTACTACTACTACTACTACTACTACTACTACTACTACTACTACTACTACCACTACCACTACCACCACCACCACCACCACCACTACCACTACCACTACCACTACCACTACCACTACCACTACCACTACCACTACCACTACCACTACCACTACCACTACCACTACCACTTTCTTCCATCATCTTTCCGATCACATTATCATGGATTTTCAATAAAGTTCTTTGACTACTACTACTACTTCTACTACTACTACTACTACTACTACTACTACTACTACTACTACTACTACTACTACTACTACTACTACTACTACTACTACTACTACTACTACTACTACTACTACTACTACTACTACTACTACTACTACTACTACTACTACTACTACTACTACTACTACTACTACTACTACTACTACTACTACTACTACTACTACTACTACTACTACTACTACTACTACTACTACTACTACTACTACTACTACTACTACTACTACTACTACTACTACTACTACTACTACTACTACTACTACTACTACTACTACTACTACTACTACTACTACTACTACTACTACTACTACTACTACTACTACTACTACTACTACTACTACTACTACTACTACTACTACTACTACTACTACTACTACTACTACTACTACTACTACTACTGCTACTGCTACTGCTACTGCTACTGCTACTGCTACTGCTACCACTACCACTACCACTACCACTACCACTACCACTACCACTACCACTACCACTACCACTACCACTACCACTACCACTACCACTACCACTACCACTACCACTACCACTACCACTACCACTACCACTACCACTACCACTACCACTACCACTACCACTACCACTACCACTACCACTACCACTACCACTACCACTACCACTACCACTACCACTACCACTACCACTACCACTACCACTACCACTACCACTACCACTACCACTACCACTACCACTACCACTACCACTACCACTACCACTACCACTACCACTACCACTACCACTACCACTACCACTACCACTACCACTACCACTACCACTACCACTACCACTACCACTACCACTACCACTACCACTACCACTACCACTACCACTACCACTACCACTACCACTACCACTACCACTACCACTACTACTACTACTACTACTACTACTACTACTACTACTACTACTACTACTACTACTACTACTACTACTACTACTACTACTACTACTACTACTACTACTACTACTACTACTACTACTACTACTACTACTACTACTACTACTACTACTACTACTACTACTACTACTATAGCATGACAGCCCCATAGGGCCACGTCACTCCCTTGTGACAGGGAGCCAGAGTGAGGGTAATAGATGGCCTGATCAGTCACAACTTAAAGTTTCATGCCATCTCAGGCACTCATCAGGTGATACATACATACAATACATACACATAATGTATGATCACCTTGGCACTCGCATACGCTCAAACATTGTTTTCCTCAATACTCTGGTTGTCTGGACAAGTTTTGTGGATGGGAAAAACTACCTAGGTGTAGTTGACGTGAATGTATGTAGCAGAGCTCAAAAATTGCTGCTTCCCTGTACTATCCTGTTTTCAACATTGTGACAGGACTACTACCAGTGGGTTCAAGAATCTCTCCTTAGAGACCTGACAAGCATCGAACGGTGCTTAGAAGATGGCCTGCGAACCCCTCTCACATACAAGCTGCGACCAGAGCATTGCTAGTATGTGAATACATTGTTCTTCGCGTGTTTTGATTGCTTACGTTGATCTAGTTCCATTGCTTTCATGTATTCCTTTCCTCTTCAGTCTTCATGCATTAAATGTGACCTTCGATTCTCCTTCGAGCAATACATATTATTACTTGATATTATGATTTACATGTTTCTGATAATCTGTGTGAAGTGCCTTTGTGTATGGACTTGCATCTTTTCCGTCTTGATTTGCCGCTACAATTTTCGATTCAGATAGTTCAGCGGCGCATTATTTTCCTTGAAGGAATTTGAAAAGTGTGCCTTTGCTTTTAGATTGTTCATTAGTGTAGTTCTAAATGTGTGAAAAGGGATATGATTCTTTTTTGGTTTACGTCAGGTGTTTATGCACATCAACATCAAGTTTGTTTGCCAGTCTAGACAGAGTTATGTATTCTGGTCTCGTCGGAATGCTTCGAAGTAGTAGAGTTGTCGTTTTCCTCTTGTTTACGTGCAATTATTGTAATTGATGAGATTTACTATTTAGGATACTTAATACGTCGTTATCTTTTCATGCTGCTGTCACTGGAGGTTTTCTTCCAAAACCAGTCAATTTCGGAACTAGGCGATTGAATCATTATAAACTGATCGAATGAAAGATGCTATCAACATCACTCCCGTGTGCATGATATCCTGTGTATATGCCCGGTTCTAGATGTGAATAGTGTGTGCAGCCAATCGCACATGTGCTTTGTAGAACTGGTCGTCTTTCCGCCGACAATTTTGTACATGTATTAGCTGATTCTGTACATCCGCCATACTCACCCTGGCCTGCTCCTTCTGCGACTTACGGCCGTAGCGGCCTTAGGCACCGGCTGCTGTCTTTTAAACCGAAGTGTGAGCAGCCTGGACTAAACAGAACAGAGGCGCGAACTCAGTGTGAATCCAATGTGAACCCCACGTGACCTGGGGTCTCACAGGACGCACACGGCATGAACGACCAGGCTCTCCTGGCCTGAGGTGTGAATAGCGTCCCATGTGTCGCACGCCTGCAGTAAGCCTGGCCAGGCTATGGCCATGTCGCCCCAGGCAATTCATCCATTGATCCAGGCTCTGAGGACTGTACGCCACCAAAGATTTCGAAATTGGTGCTAGGGCTAGTGGGAGCCTAGGCTAGGCCATACAGTCGTGTGAAGTCTGTTGTTGTTGTTTCAAATCTTTATTCTCACGATAGCCAGTGGCCAATAAGAGATAATAGTGTAAGAAAGGAGAAAGAGTGAGGAAGAATTGGGTGGGCAGGGCCTAGGGTTTAATGACTACTTAAGTGTACGGGCAGGGGTAGTCGCCACACGAGCATACAGAGTTGTGTACTTAAGTGTACGGGCAGGGGTGGTCGCTACACGACCATGCAGAGTTGTGCAAAAAGCAGGGATATCTCGGATTTGAAGAGGGCACGAGAAGGGATTTCGCGAAGCTGGGGTGGGCAAGCAATTAAAGTAATGAAGGGCCTTGTACAGGGGAGAATGGAGACAGCGGTCACTCCGCGGAGTTGGCAAGTGCCAAGTACGAGAGCGACGTAAATTATACGAAGGTTTGACGTTGCTAGCAGTATGCAGCGAGAGTATTATGTGGTGGGGCATAATTGTGGCGCAGAGAATGCGCGAAGAGTATATGTTTAACTTTAAAGCGGGAAAATAATGTTGGCCATTTGATGCGATGCAAAAGGTGGGAGTGTTCTAAGTGTGTGTAAAGGGGAAGGTGAAGACATAATCTGGCGGCTTTCCGCTGGAGTCGTTCTAGCCTGTCAAGGGAAGTGTGTGACAACGGTGTGAGAGCATTGCTCGCATATGAGAATATAGGTAGTATGTATGTCTGATAGATGTGAGATATAGAATCACTGGTGAGTGTAGACCTTAGTCTAAAAAGAATATTGAAAGACTTGAGTGATTTTTTGACTATGTATTCAACATGCTCCGTCCAACGGAGGTCATGCTGAAAGATCATTCCGATGTGTTTGTGTTTTTGTGCTACGGTAAGCGGACTATTCCTGAGGCTGATCTGGGGTAGCTGTTCAGGGGGGCGGTTATTGTAGTAGAACGGGAGGATGACTGTTTTCTTTGTGTTAACCAGCAGGTGCCATCTTCGAAGCCAGTCTCCAGCTGCTGTGACACTCTGTTGTAGGTTTCGGGTGCAGTCTTGAAGAGTTCTCGCTATGGAAATCAGAGCGGTGTCATCTGCAAATTGGCTACAGGTGGTGACGGGATTCTCACATGCACGTGGGAGGTCTATGGTGTAGACGAGGAATAGAAGGAGCCCAAGAACAGATCCCTGAGGGACGCCGGCAGGGATCTCGAGGAAAGGCGATAGGTCGCCATCCACCTGGACCCTCTGCCGACGCCCCAACAGGTACCGTCGGAACCACTCCAGGGCGTTGCCTTGGACACCATAGTGGGAGAGTTTTCCTAGAAGGCCTGCATGCCACACACGATCGAAGGCCTTGCTTAGATCAAAAAAGCAGGCATTGACGTTTTTCCCGGCGTCTCTCGCAGTGGAGAGGGTATGGACGAGACGGGCGAGCTGCTGCTCAGTGCCGTCTTTCTCACGGAATCCGGACTGCTGGTTGGGTAGGTGGGGTGTGATGTGCTTGTAGAGGAGTTGATGTGCAATTTTTTCTTGGATTTTTGATGTAGTGCTCAAGAGAGAGATGGGTCTGTAGTTTGTGGGTTGGGTTGGGCCACCAGGCTTGGGTACTGGAGTAATGGTGGCATCTTTCCTCTCCTGTGGGATTTCTCCGGTTTGGAACGATAGATTAAAGAGGGACGATAACGACCGTGCAAGTTCCTTAGCCGCTTCTTTGAATAGGCGGTTTGGAATACAGTCGAACCCGGGGCTTTTGTTGGTATCAACTCCGCGGAGGAGTTTTTCGACCTCAGCTTGGGAAGTCGAGATTTCTTGAAGGTGACTGAGGATGTCAGGGGTGGTGTTGATGGCTTGGGTTTGCTCATCCGCATTGGCCACGGACAGCTTGCTCTGTGAAATGAAGAATTCGTTGAGGGCAGCGGCTTTTTGTGCCGGTGTCGTTGCAGTGGTTGCTTGGCTGACGAGTTAGGGTATGCGTTGTTTTGTAGCTGTAGTTAGGTGCTTCATGAGGCGGTGTAGGGAAGTAGAGGAGGCTGTTGAGTTGTTTACGAAATCCGATTTTGCACGACTCAGGAGGGTGGTGACACAGTTTCTTTGGGCAGTGAACGTGTTCCAGTCGTCGGGCGAGCGTGAGTGAAGGTATATTCTGTGTTTTCTGTGCTTATCCTTGATTTCTTTCAAGAGGCCCTGTGATATCCATGGTCGTGCTGGCACGTTCTTCCTGTCCCAAGGGGGGTGAGTGTCAACTGGGCATGGGTCGTGTTGGTTTGGATTGTGGTTGAGAGTTGTGCGTGAAAGGGCTTCTCGAAGAAGGTGGATAGTGCTATCTGTCCATGACCAGAATGTGGTGCTTCTGGATCGTGGAGGGGAGTTGTTAATTATGGGGGGCAGTTGATTACTGATGTGGCCACTGATAGTAGTGTGATCGGATGCGCCAAAGGGTGGATGTGATTGGATGTGAACATTATTGCTGTGGAGTGAGGAGATAACAAGGTCTAGACATGAGAGAGGTGTTTGTCGGTGGATGTAAGTCGGGAATCTGACATGCTGTGTGAGGCCATATGTGTGTAGAAGAGTTTGTATGTCGTCCCCAAGGCGATCTGTTCTGTCTGTGGTGAGCCACGCACTGTTCTTGGCATTGAAGTCTCCAAGTAGTAGGAGGTCGTCACCTTCGGCTCTAGCGGTTTCAATGCTTCTTTCCAGTTCCGCACAGAAGAGGGTGCCATCGCTACGGGGTGGTCGGTAAATGTTTGCAACGACGAGGGAAAGGTTATCGGTGGAAATTCTCGTCCATACACATTCTGCTGCTGTCATTGGTATTGTCAGTATACTTGTGTTCAAACGTTCCGCTGTGTTCAAGGCAACACCACCACCAAAGTCCTGTCTGTCAGCTCTGATCAGCTTGTAGCCTGGGATTGCATAGAGACTGTCAGGGTCTGATGTGTCAGCCCAGGTTTCCTGGACTGCAATGACTGATAGTTCGTTCTGAGATTCAGAGCACGAACGGGTAGAGGTAAGTAACTCGTCCATTTTGTTGAATAAGCAACGCACATTGGTGCTGAGAAAGTTCAATGTTGTTGTTGTTGTTGTTGTTGTTGTTGTTGTTGTTGTTGTTGTTGTTGTTGTTGTTGTTGTTGTTGTTGTTGTTGTTGTTGTTGTTGTTGTTGTTGTTGTTGTTGTTGAATTCTTTATTCTCACGATGGCACCATCGCCAATAAGAGATAAATTTATGAGAAGGTGAGATTATGGGTTAAACAGTTGGAAAGTGATTTACATCACTTTACAAGTATGGGAGAGGGTGAGCGCTGCAGGAGCAGATTGAGTTAATCAGCAGTGAGCAGATTTCTTGTTTGAAAGCAGGTCGGGAGGAGACGTCACGAATGCTAGCAGGGAGGGCATTGTAGTATTCTAGGGACTTGTACAGTGGGGAGTCTTTACAGCGATCGGTTCTGGAGGGTGGGAGGTGCCAAGTGCGTGCGTGTCGAAGGCTGTACTGGGCCGTAACTTGAGCGGGGGTGTTGAGCAAGCGTATGTGTTGTGGGGCATATTGGTATTTTATGGAGTGAGCAAGAAGGGTGAGCTTCACTTTGCGGCGAGAGAACATTGTCGGCCATTTGAGCCGATGGAGCAGTGTTGAATGATCCAGAGGAGTGTAGAGGGGGAGATGGAGGCAGATTCTGGCCGCCTTGCGCTGGATTCGCTCAAGACGGTCAAGGGCTGCGATTGAGAGCGGGGTGACAGCAATGCATGCATATTCAATTATAGGTAGGATATACGTTTTGTAAATGAGAGAGAGTGATTTAGTGTGTAGAGTTGATTTGAGCCTAAAGAGAATATTAAAAGATTTTACAGCTTTCTTTAGCACAAAGTCAAGGTGGGCTGACCATCTTAGGTCGTGCTGAAAGATGATGCCGAGGTGACGATGTTGTGTTACTGTTTCTAGTAGGGTTTGGCCAGGTTTTATTTTGGGTTGTCGTGGTGGGGGTCGGTTAGCATGGTAGAACGGGAGGATGACGGTTTTCGTTTTATTGACTAGCAGGTGCCAGCGCTCTAGCCATTCTGCTGCGGCATCGACGCTTCTTTGTAGCGCAGCCTCACACTCAATGTAGCTGCCTGCAATGGCAATCAGTGCGGTGTCGTCCGCGAACTGGCTACACGAGGTTGCAGCATTTTCACAGGCAGTGGGCAGGTCAATGGTGTACGCCAGGAACAGAAGTGGTCCCAGGACCGAGCCCTGGGGCACTCCCGCTGGTATTGGTATGAAGGCGGATGTTGAGCCTTCGACCTGTACCCGCTGTCTGCGGTTGTTGTTGTTGTTGTTTCAAATCTTTATTCTCACGATAGCCAGTGGCCAATAAGAGATAATAGTGTAAGAAAGGAGAAAGAGTGAGGAAGAATTGGGTGGGCAGGGCCTAGGGGTTAATGACTACTTAAGTGTACGGGAAGGGGTGGTCGCCACACGAGCATACAGAGTTGCGTACTTAAGTGTAAGGGCAGGGGTGGTCG